TTTCGCACCAAGAATTACGTTGCCGGTCCTGTCTCTCCTGGAGTGGCATCACCATTATTCTTGTCATCGGACCCAACCACCTGGAACTCACCTGGATTCTTCCTTGCTTCACTTCCACCTGCAATCACGCTGCTTCATGCCAAGCAAGGGATCGCCTTGCCTGCAATGCCTTTTCCCCTTCTTCAAAGAGCTGACTTCCACTTTTCCATTAATTATTAAGCAAGATTGATCTAAAGCAGAGTTACTTATTGCTGCCCCAGTGTAATACAGATGCCTCCTCTTGGTCCTCCCCCTGCTTATACCTGTGACATATATCTCTGACATTTTGTCCTGGCATCACTACTTTGTCTATCTCACCACAAATGGCTGTGCGTCTCTTGACAGCTGATTTTATTTTCTTTTTATTTCCCATCCCCCACTCTGTGCTTGGCATACAGAAGATGTGGGGTTGTTTTTTTTTACATGTTTATCAAATAATATTAATGTTATTTCAAAACTTTACTAATTTACTTATGAAAAAACATAATTTCTTGTTCTATCCAAATGTTCTTTTCTGTTAGAATGAGTTTTGTTTTTTGGTAAAGTGGTCCTCTCATTTGTCTCCTGCACCTTCAGGGAAAATCACCAAAACAAACAGTTCCACAGCTTATGTTACACCTCAAATGCACTTTCACTGTTTTCCAGGGTCACTGTCCCTCAAGGTCACTTCTGCTACTGAGAACAGCTCGGCCCCCTATGCCTCTGGGAGCTTCCAGGCACTGCTAGTCATTATACACAATGATTTTTTAAAATATTTTTATTGATTTTTACAGAGAGAGGAAGGAAGAGAGAGAAATATTGATGTGAGAGGAAAACATCAATCAGCCCCCTACTGGGGACAGAGCCTGCAGAACTGGCATGTGCCCTGGTCAGGAATTGAAACGACCACCTTTTCAGTGTACCAGGCAGCACTCAACTAACTGAGCCACACTGGCCAGAGCATAGTGATTTGTTTGTGATGAGAAGTTGCCAGAATTCCTCTACAATGCCATCAAGAGTCCAGGATACAGGAAAGCAGAAGTGAGAAGTATGGACCAGAGGGACAAGAAGGTCCTCACTAACCCAGTCCCCAATGTGCTCTCACAGACATTCAACACTTCATCAGATTGGCCATCACAGGAAATCCTGTTTGAAAAGCAATCTCTTGATTTGGCTGGAATGGGAGTCAGAAGGAATCATTCCATCCCCAGCCTCAGTGTCAAATCAGCACTTTGGTCTACCATGACAGACACACCTCAATGGGTTTTTTTAATTCAGCCACTCACATATTCATTGACCATCTACTAAGAGAAATGTGCAGGCGAGGCACTATCAAAGGTGATAACAGCCAAAATGTCCCACACTCAAGGAAATTAAGAAAAGTATTATGAAAAGGATAAGTTCCACAAACACTTGACTCTTCCAAATGTGGTTCACAGACCAGCAACAGCAGCACCTGGAAGCTTGTTGGAAATGCCAAATTTCAGGGTCCTCCTCAAGATCCCCTGATTCAGAATCTGCATTTTTTTTTTAAAGAATAAAGGAGCTCCACTGCAATATCAGAGACTGAGAAACATTTACACCTTCCTCCCAGAACTGAACACCGACACTTTTTGGCCTGCATCAAGTTCACGTCTCAGTTGTAAAAGCTTCCCTGAACAGCTCCTAATCATAATCCTGTTGTTTTCAGTCTGGACTCCACATCTGGCTCTCTGCTGCTTCATAGGAGGAGCAGCTTGCATCCTTCATCACACAAAATTGGAACTAAGAGAGGATAGCCCTAGCCACCCAACACCTGTCACTTATGCATGTGAATCTCAGATTCTTCATGGGGTACTTTCTGACATTTCCATTCCTGCAATGTTTTTAAGTTTTCTCAAAATGCCTACTTAGAAAAAGAAGTAACAGCTTAAGAATTCAAGTGACTCACAGACCTGACTCAAGTGGCTTACGTTTCCAAGACTTAATGCATCATGGTACATAACCAAAGAAGGGTCTCAAAGTAAGACTCAGCTTTATCTAATTATTAAAGTTGAAAAATCACAATTCAGCTAGAAAGCAGGTACAATTGGGGAATGCTTACTACAGCAGAACCTGGCCTTGTGTAACCTCTACGTTTAACATTGCAACACACTCTCACCAACACACAGGTATATGATTACTACTAAGAATTCTAAATATGCATATACACATTTTCCATGTACACATTGGGTATTGTTTGTTGGTTTGTTGGTTTGTATCTTTTTTTGTTGTTGTTAAACCTCACCGAGGAATATTTTTCCATTGATTTTTAAAGGAGTGGAAGAGAGAGGAAAAGACAGAGAGAAACATCAATGTGAGAGAAACGCATTGATTGGTTGCCTTTTGCACGAGCCCTGACCAGGACCTGGGCTATGCAGGAGCCTACAACCAAGGTACATGCCCTAGACCAGAATTGAACCGGGACCCTTTGGTCTGTAGGCCGATGCTCTATCCACTGAAAAAAACTGGCTAGGGCCACGTTGGGTATTTCATTGGGTATTTCTTATTTCATTGATATAATTTCAAATACTTGTAATCCTGGAGGCCCAAGATGTGTGAAAGTTCTATTTTGTTTTATTTGGTTTTCTTTTTTAATTTTTCAGGGATTAATAGTCACCAAAACCAGTAATTCTTGCCGAGACCGGTTTGGCTCAGTGGCTAGAGCGTCAACATGCAGACTGAAGGGTCCCAGGCTCGATTCCGGTCAGGGGCATGTACCTTGGTTGCAGGCACATCCCCAGTGGGGGGTGTCCAGGAGGCAGCTGATCGATGACTCTCTTGCATCGATGTTTCTAACTCTCTATCTCTCTCCCTTCCTCTCTGTACAAAATCAATAAAATATTTTTTTTAAATCATTTTGTTCTCACCCTAAACAAATGGCAAGTTTTTATGTAACCTTATACCCAGAAGTACAATTTTAATTCCTGGGTTAAGAACGCTCTAGGAAAAGTTCCAAGATATCAAAATAAAATATTTTAATTCATTTTAACTGATTAAATGATAATCGCCATTTGGGGCAGAAGGGGCAGAAAAAGTTGTGCCACCAGATGAAACATTTGATTTTTTATTTTACGCAAGGCCGAAATCAACATTTTGGATCATAACATTTTAACCACTTGGGCATTAGTGGGACCACATAAAGTCTAACTTTCCAAACTGCTATTAGATTGGCTACAATTGTGCTTCCCAGAACACCAGACAATAAAGACATGTCCTTTGAGGACTACCTATCTATCCTAAGGAAGACCTCCTCCAGAACCAGAAAAGGGGGCGGGGGGGACAGCAACTCCATGTGGACTAGAACAGGGCAGACAGAGGCTGACAGAGCAAAGGAGAACTCCCTGCTGCTGGCCCCTCCACTAGCTGCATATTCCAAACGGGTTAAAAGACGTGTACACTTCAGACTTAAACCAAATGCACAAACGACTGTCTCTGGATCACAAGACAGTGCATGCCAAATGTTTCTGTGCAGCCCTGTGGCCGCAGAAAAACTGCCTATCCTGCTCATCTTTTGTTAGTAACTTTAGCTCAGAATGAAATTCAAGATCCTCCAAGAAAAAAAAAAAAATCAGGGGGAGCCTACTCTCCTGGGAGATCATGGGGCACCGCATTCCTGCCTTGAAATTGTCCAGCTGTTAGCTCACACATTAGCTGCTGGCTGCATGTCACCAGCTCCCACTAGGAAGAAAAATAAAAAAAGGGGGGGGGGGGGGGGGAGGAGACCTTTCATTCATTCACTTATTCATTCTTGGTTAACAAAGCCCTGGAAGGAATTCCTGCCGCTGGGAGATGCTGCCCCCATTCAGCTTTCACAGGAACTGCAGAGGGTGCCCAGGACCTGAAGTTCAGTCCTGAGCTTCCCTGAAGACCGGGTAGGTGAGAAAAGGAAATCCCCGGGGTTAATAGGTTTTAAAGCCAGGAGCAAATAGTGCTGAGCCCTAACACGACCTATCCAAATTGTACACTCTGACTGGGTCATGGGAGAGGGCACACACCTGCCTACATATACACACATTAACAGCGCGCACACACACACACACACACACCCTTGCAGCTCATAACTGCTCTCCTGCAAACGGCACTTATCACGGGAGGATGGAGCTGCCAGCCAAGCTGCCTTCCCCCACACAACTCTCACTATCTCCAACTTGGACAAGAGCGAATGTCCACCAAGACTCCAAGGGGTGCTTTTTTTCCCTGGGCCAGGGTCCTGCTGAAGTCCCTGCACCCTAAACCAGCTCCGGTTCAGCTCTACTGGCCTCACAGCCCTTTTCCTTTCTCTGAAACGCTCGGATTTCACACGATTCCTTCCGAGCTGGCTCCAGTTCCACGCAGGGTGCGCCCCATCCCTCAAGGCTGGAGCCCGGGGTTGCCCAGCTTCCCTCCTTCCCTCCCGGGAAACTTCGCAGCCGCAGCCACACACACACACACACACACACACACACACACACACACACACACTGTAGAGAAGTAAAGGTGATGGGCGGGTGGGGCTTGGTCTGATGGAATCTTCGGAGACGGTGCCATAAAGAAAAATAAGTGGACCCGGGCTGGTGCATGCCTTCTCCACGTGGAGGGACGGAGGAAGGAAGAGTGGGCGACCTAACGGTGCCCCTCTTGGTCTCAGAACTCCAGTTTCCTGGTGGGATGGGCGACAGAGGGGCTGCAGGCAACTGCTGGGGTCCTCAGCCTGGGCGCAGCCAGATGCGTGAAGCGTGTATGCCAGGAGGGGGGCTTGGGCGCAGAGAACGTTCGCCTGGCGCCTGCCAGGGGCAGTGCCCCCATCTCCGGGCAGGGCTCCCAGCCTCAGAAAACAGGGAAACGAAATCCGGCTTTCTAGCAAGGCCCTGGGGTGGGTTCCTCATGGCTGACGGCGCACGCCCACCCGCAGAGCCCCCCCCCCCCTTCCTCCCCTCCCCTGCCCGGGCGCACCCGCCTCCCGCGCCCCGCGCCTCCCGCACCTGGATGTGGCAGGAGATCTCCGAGTCGTCCAGCAGCCGGATGGTGCATTTCATCTCCTGGCTGAGCGATTTGGTGCTGGAGCTCCGAAAGTGGATCATCTTCATGGTCCCCCTGCCTCTCGGCACGCAGCGGCAGGAGGCGAACATGCACCGCGGCGGCCCGGGGGAGCGCGCTGGGGGCTGCGGCCGCTGGAGCGCACACCGCGCTGGGCACCTGGGTGCCGTGCAGCCCCGGGACAGCGGTGGCGACGGGCGCCTGCAGCCACACTGGCCGGGCAGTCGGGCGCAGCAGGCGGGTCCCTCCCTCCTCCTCCTCTCCCTCCGCGCTCTCAGCCCCTCCCCTCCTGCGCCCGGCCCCTCCTTTCCCCGCCTCCTCCTCCACCCGGGGCGCGCTCCGGTGCTCCCTCGGTCTCGGCTCCGGGTCCGTGACCCCAGCTAGCTTACGAGGCACTCAGACCCGCGCCCCAACCTCCGGGGAGAAACCGGGGTTCCGGGCGCCCCGCAGTGGCCTGCTCCCGTCGCCGCTGCGTCAGGCTGGGCCCGGCCACCGCCTCCGGCTCCGGCGGCGCTCCTCCTGCCCCGGCTCCTGCGCTGCCAGTGCCAGCTCTGCTGGGCCCCGGGGACCTGGCTATGGACGGCGGATGGAGAGTGATCTTGACCTGCACCCAAAGGGAGGATGCCACCACGGGAGAGGATTGTTGGACCAAGAACGAGTCCCCAAGTGTGCCAGGAAGCTCTGGCACAGCGACACCAGGAATCCGGCTAATAGTTACTACTACAGTCTCTGGTACGCATGAGGAGACTAGTATTTCTGAGCCTTTATTTTATTTAATATTCGCTTGAGCCCTGGCCGGGGTGAGCGTTGACCTATGAAACTAGGAGATGTGGGTTTGATTCCAGGTCAGGGCACATGCCCACGTTGTGGGGGCCATTGCCAGTGTGGGGGGCAGCCCGTCAATGATTCTGGCTCATCATTGATGTTTTCTATCTCTCCCTCCCCCTTCCACTCTGAAATCAAAAAATATATATTTAAAAATATATATTAACTGGAGTCTATCTCAGTCTCTGAGGAATTCAGCGTCTTCCTTAAGCAATGTCTCCTGTTCATGATACCCAACATTTTCAGCGTGATCTTTGGTGGCAGTACCTTAGACCTGAACATGGTGGTCCCTTACCTGCACCACCCCTTTTAGGGATCTTCCACCTGCTCCCAGTGCCCCATCCCGTTTTAGACCAATCTCTGGGTACCGGGGACCCTGGAACTGCCTCCCTGCCTCCCGCCCCTGCATCTTCACGGTGAGTCTAGCCCCATGGGCCCAAGGGGTGGCTGTGGAGGCAGGTGGATGGAGGTTGGTTGAGGAGACCAGAAAGGCTGGGACTAGAAAAAGAAGGAGGGCCCCTGGCCCTGCTGCCCTTAGCTGGGCTGAAAAGGTCGTTATTAAGGAGTTAGAGGGAGGGCTTGTTGCTCAGCTGTCAGCTCTTGCCGGAACTAACTATAAGGAACTCCTCATCCTCTGGCTGAGGAGGCGTGACCCAGCCCTTTCACCTAACTTGGCATATTCTGATCGGCCACACATGCCCTAGGCCCGTGGTTGGCAAACTGCGGCTTGCGAGCCACATGCGGCTCTTTGGCCCCTTGAGTGTGGCTCTTCCGCAAAATACCACGGCCTGGGAGAGTCTATTTTGAAGAAGTGGCGTTAGAAGAAGTTTAAGTTTAAAAAATTTGGCTCTCAAAAGAAATGTCAATCGTTGTACTATTGATAGTTGGCTCTGTTGACTAATGAGTTTGCCGACCACGGCCCTAGGCCACCCTGTGGGGTTGGCTGCGGCTTGGTGGGGCCTGCATTGCAGCTGGATGTCTCCCTCCACCTGTTCCTCCTTCCTCTCTGTGTTGACCACTAGTAAACACCCTTCAGGCCAAACTCAGTCTCAGCGTCTGCTCCTGGAGACCCAAACTGTGACAATTTGTCAAAACTGGAATATAGAGTATAGTTTCTTTAGCACTTGATAGATTGACTGTTGCTTTCAAAGTGTTAGATAAAGAGTATGGGGGCATCCATGTGTACTCTTGCACTGGGACTGCGAATATCACAGCCGTTCCTAACAGGGAGGTCAGCGTGGAGGGTCTGGGAAGATGTGGATTTGATTCTTGACCCAGCTCCTGGCCAACCCTGGGGACCCCAGGCACGTGCCTTTTCATTAATTCCTTAACTTCACAGATGAGCACACCCACCTTTGTTTGGCCCATCTCACAGGTGTCTGAGAAGCTGGGATAAGACAGCATCAGTGGAGGGGACCAGGATACAGTCTGTAATCTATAAATCCTTATATGCAGAAGAGGTGGCAGTGATGTGATTGTCCCACTCCAGTTTGAAAACTGAAACAAATATGTGATACCTTAATAAATAAAGAAATTTAAAAAAAAAAAAGAAAAGAAAACTGAAACAGGTTGAACCATCTCTCCCAATCCAAAGAGCAGGTCTGAGATAGCCTAGAGAGCAAAGAAAAGTCAACACCCAACACAGTCCAAGCTTTTTTATTCAAGGCTAGCTACTTGTCCATCTTCATTACAGTGAATTTTGTGGCTCAAAAGAGTCATGCTCAATATCCCAAAATTGTTATCTCAATTGTCAAGGAAGCAGAATAAGACCAACAAGAACAACAGGAAAAGGAAGAAATGAGACGAATCTGGAATTGGTTATCAGGCCTGGTGTAGGATGAAGTCTGAGATCCAGCTAGTATAAATATACTAGAGGCCTGATGCATGAAATTTCTGCAAGGGGCTTAGCCGCCACAGCAGCTTTGTCCGCAAGGATGTCTGGTCTAATTAGCATATTACACTTTAATTATTATAGATGGACTGTGGCTCTTGTGGGTGTTGCTCAGTTGGTTGAAGAATCGTTCGTGGGTTTGATTCCCAGTCAGGGCACATACCCAGGTTTCTGGTTTGATCCCCTGTTGGGGCATGTGCAGGAGGCAACATTATCCACGTTTCATTCTCACATTGATGTTTTTCTCTTTCTCCCTCTCCCTTTCTCTCTCTATAAAAATCAATAAAAGGATGTCCTCAGATGAGGATTTTAAAAAATATTAAAGATATGGACTCTGGCATAAATGAAAAAAAAAAACAGCTAGGTAAATTACCACATGTTGGTGGCCAGTGTTATACGTGTGTGTGTGTGTGTGTGTGTGTGTGTGTGTGTGTGTGTGTATTGTGTGTGTAGCAGAGGAATTCAAATAATGAATTTAAGAGATAAGTTTAAAACTGGACTACTTGCCCTCGCTGGTATGCTCAGTGGTTAGAACTCATGCCCACACACCAAAGGGTTGTGGGTTTGATTCCCAGTCAGGAGCACTTACCTGGGTTGCAGGTTTGATCCCCAGCCCTGGTCAAGGTGCATGTGGGAAGCAACCAATTGATGTGTCTCTTTCACATCAATGTTTCTCTTTCTCTCCCTTACGTCCCTCCCTTCCACTCTCTCTAAAAACCAATGAAAAAATCTCCTCAGGTGAGGATTAATAACAACACCATAAAACTTCTAGAAGATGACACAGGAAAAAATCTAGGTAACCTTAAGTTTGCTAATGACTGTTTAGATATAACACCAAAAGCATTATAAGTTGGATTTCATTAAAATTTGTGCTCGGTGAAAGACACTTAAGAGACTAAGAAGACAAGTCACAGACTGGAAGAAGATATTTGCAAAATACAAAAAAGACAAAGGACTTGTGCCCAAAATATAGGGGGGGGGGGGGAATCTTTAAAACTCAAAACAACAAAACAAATCATCCAATTTAAAATTAGGCAAGAAATCCAAACAGACACTTCAGCAAAAGAAGGAATAGAGATGGCAAATAAGCATATGAAAAGGTTCTTGTTAGGGAATTTCAAATTTAACTATTTGGAGGTACTGCTGCACACCGATTAGGTAGCTAAAATCCAAATCACCAGCAACACCAAATGCTGGTGATGACGTGGAACAACAGGAACGCCCACTCTGTGCCTGTGGGAACTATTATAAAATGGCCACTTTGGAAGAGAGTTTGATAGTTTCTCACAAAGCGAAACATACCATACAACCCAGTAACTGTGCTTGTAGATATTAAGCCAAGTGAGATGAAAACTATGTCCGCACAGATACCTGCACACAAAGGTATACAACAGCTTTATTCATAATTGTCAAAAATTGGAAGCATCCAATATGTCCTGCGATAAGTGAATGATAAATAAACTGTGTTTTACCCATGCAATGGAATACTGTTCAGCAATAAAAACAGATAAGCTATCAAGCCACAAAAAGACATGAAGGAACCTTACATGCATAATGCTAAATAAAAGAAGCCAGTCTACGTATTGTACAATACCATCTATATGACATCTATCTGGAAAAGGCAGAGATAATAACAAGGAAAACTGGGAGCCAGAGGGAAGGGAAGATATATAGAAACTCTTTACACTTTCTGCACAACCTTTAAAATGCTCTTTTACAAAGTGTATTTAGGGGCAGGATGTGGAGGCGGACTAGAAGAGGTCAATGGGGGGGAAAGGGAGACATATGTAATACTTTCAAATATAAAGATATATTTTTTTAATTGACCGGCCTCCATCCTGTGAGGACACAGGGAGAAGGCAGTCATCTGCCAGCCACAGAGAGCTCTTGCCCAAAACCAAATTGGCTAGCACCTAATCCTGGACTCCTAGCTTCCAAAACCATAAAGAAAGAAATTTCTGTTGTTTAAAAAAAAAAAAAAGATTATTGAAAATATTTGACCCAGCCAGTGCTGCTCCGTGGTGGAACATCGATCCACCCATGTATCAGGAAGTCATGATTCCATTCCCAGTCAGGACACATGCCCAAATTGCAGGCTCGATCCCCAGTAGGTGGCAGCAGGAGGCAGCAGATCAATGATTCTCCTCATTGATGTTTCTATCTCTCCCTCTCCCTTCTTCTCTTTGAAATCAATAAAAACTTTCTTTTCAAAAGAAAATATTTTTGTCACTATTTATATGACTCCCTCTATCAAGTTACAGCATCCAGTAAATATTATTTTGAGGCATCTAACCATGTATCACTGACTTGTTGCCAGAGAACATCTGCCCATGCATTTGATTGATGTGTAGCAATTCATCTGATGATTATTTTAATTATAATTTGGGGTATTTTTTTTTCAGTGAAATGCTTTTTATTATAGATGAATTTTAAATTTTTAGTTTTTAAAATAATGTTCACAAGTTTTTACAATTCACAGTTTTTTCTACTAATATAAAAAGACATTGAGTTTTTCATTGCTAATATTATCT